ACACCTCCAATGAAACCAAGGTGAAGTTGCTCACCAAAAATGGGCCAATTTGGAGAAGAAATCTTAGAGGAGGGTATTATCACCATCTAACCGCCGCAAGGCCCGAGCCCTCTAGAAATCTTCCTTTTTAATTTTCTTCATCCTCATGTCGAAGGAATCTGAGTTTACATCGTACAAGGAAGGTTTTGGATGACTTTTGGAGGAAAAGGACTGAAAATATTCTTCTGTAACTAGAATAAATAGGTTTCTAGGCTAGAGCTTTTACACATACCTTATACTAGCACTCGTCCCCAGGGTCACAAGTTAGAAATCCATAGAGATGAGGCAAAGCCCTGTTGGAGCTCGATGGGGAATTGTCACCATTGATGCCTGCATAATTGGTGATGTCTTCCTATTCTCATATGCATGGCTAGGTTGACGTATTTTAGTGGTGTGACTTTGTGATGCTTTATGTATAACTTTCTATGATTCAATGAGATGCTTATTGTGTTCAATGATTTTATCATAGATTTTGGAGTTAATATATGCTTGCATCATATATTGCTTGAGATGTTTGATGATATTATCACTTTTTGCTTTAGTTAGTTAATGCCTATGATTATATTGTATGCTACAATATGCATTGTGCTCGGTATAATCTAAGTTATTAAATTACCTTCTAGTGCTACCCCACTGATGCTAGACGTGTTAGGGAGGAGTAATTAACCATCCATGCATTGACTAGTATCAATCTATATCTTAAATGCTATAAATCACAAATTTTGGCTTAAGAGACCCACACTCAATCATGTGCTATCCTAACTTCCTTGTTCTTCATTGATCAGGTGATCGCAAGAAGCGAAAGCACGCATTAAATCAAATACCTATTTCAATAAACATATGAACATATAGGAAATAGCATTAGTGGAAGAGATAGGGAATCATAATAGATAATGCATAGACGCATCTCATTGATGAGTTAGTATGCATGATCATCTAGAGAGCACTACCTAAACAATCCTTTTAATTGATTTCTTTTCTTGCATTTTGTTTAATTCTTTTATTAGTAATTTACAACTCGAATTAGGGCACCCCAACCCACATCATATTTTATTTTCTTGCATCATCATTCAAATATTATTGGTTAGCTTTGAGTAGTTACTATCAAAAGATCTTATGGATGTGACCCTAAGACATTCACTTGTTACTACATCAAAACACCAGGCCACAGCTAACAATGCATGTACATATAAAGCAATGTTCCTTTCTACTCTAGACAATGTCATTTGATTTGGGCTTAATAATACATGTTAAGACCCCGAATCATTTATTGTTTGGCTTGGTATTTTTTGTTCTCTACCTCATTTAACGCTAATTTGTGCTTGGTTTAGTATATTTTAGATCCTCTAAAGTGTATATGGCCATGGAACGATTGTTGCACCATTTGGAAGCAAAACTAGGACAAGGCCAGCAAGGAGAAGCATGTCATGGTTCAGAGCACACATGTGACGACCCAAGCCGTGACATTTGTAGAAGAGGTCGTGACTTGCGATCGAATTCTAGTTCTTTTGCACATTTCATGATCCAACAACACATGTTATGGTTTCAACCATGACATGGGAAACACAATTGTGCCTTGTGCATATGATGCAATGCATTTCTGTTCGACGTCACAGTCACTGTCGATCATCACGGTTGATCGATTCATTATGTGCAGGTTATTGTTTGTGGTTAGCAAGTTTGAATAACTACCCCATCCTAGGCCAAGTTTAACCTAAAATGGCGTTGTCATATAGTGGCACTCAAGGTTGTATTCACTCGAGTCCTGATACCCTAGCCTACTTCCCACGTTGTTGTTATCTAGTTGATCGGTTTGAGGGGTTGTGTTGGAGAATTCAAGCGAAATACCTAGTAGAGAGAGTAAATAAAGATAAAAGTAGGTACTTCGGGGAACTATCACTCACCCTAGCCTAGGTCTACTATGCAATGTCTCGATAAGTAGGGTTTGTCGAATGTGGTGAGTGAGCTCATTTCTCTGGGCTTTCGTGGTTATCCACACGCCTCCGAGTATGCCTCCCTTAAACCCATGTCAGTCACCTCGATCTAGGCTATCGTATCTGGGACATTAAGAACATAGCTCATTTCAATGGGTACTACCCACCGTCCACACCGAGGTTTTATCCCGAGTTCTATCTAAGAAGGTATTCTATGGCAGGCATACGGTCGCCTTGTCCACCATAAGATCCTATTCATTCATCTAACCTTAATTTGCTTGATGGTGCATACCCGTCTAACCCTAAAACTCCATACCCAGCGTAGAAGCTCAAGTAGGCTAGTAGAGAATATTAGGAAGACTTACCCAAACACAATCAAAGCTAGAGAAACAATGAAATCAACTAGATAAACACATTCATTTATTAAAATCCTAACATATCCATACATTACATAATAACCATAAAACAAGGGTTTGGGGTTTAGAACCCCTAGTACCTTAGAAGACTACTCCATAAAGGAGGGAAGAAGATACATAGAAGAATTAGGGGAAGACTTTATGTTGAGGAAGATGGCTCCTCTCTTCTAGCTCCTCCTCGTTCTCCTCTTCTCCTTCCTTCAGCTTCTCTCTCTTCTTTCTCTCTAAACAAGAAATTTCAATCTCAAAATCAGCTCCCCTCAAATGGGGGAAAGGGTACTCTATTTATAGGCTTCACTGTGACGTACGAGTTCATGGCCAAGGAAGGGAAGATCGCGATCGTGATCTTGTCCATGATCTCCAGCGTCGTCATTTGGACTTCTGGTGCTGAGAGTTCGCGAGCTGACTTTACGGTCGAGAACCGTGAGTCACGGCCGCGAACTTCCTCCCGGTCAGGATGAACGGTGCTTGTGATCAGACTGGGGAAACTCTCTGTTTCTCCTCAGCTGGTTTCTTCACGAAGTTCGCGCCCAAAGCCTCCAAATTCGTGGCCGCGATCTTTGCTCAGAAGCCGCGATCTTTGCCTTAGTTTCGCAGTCTATTTTCTCGGTCATGATCTCTATCTTCGGGTCGTGATCATCAGCTTTCTGCGCCTTTTGCTACACTTGTGTTCTTTTTGTACCTAATTCGCATGTATTGTCCAAAACACCATAAAATCACATCATAATCAAATAGGAACGAAATAGGGATGTAATAGACAATATTCAAACGATTATGCATATGAATTAGTGTGAAACAAACCTAGATACGAGGGGTAAATAACACCACTTTGTTTGTTAACAACGGCCGTGACATGGAACCAGGACTTGTGCATGGACTCGCTCTAAACTACTCTTCCAATTAATGGCCACATGTAACCATCAATCAGGTGTAGTATAGCGTAAGTAAGTTTAATTAATCCTCCCGAGAGATAAGGCTATAATTACTTCATGAACTATTCGTTATCTAGCTAACAAGATTTGGTTTCGATTAACAAAACATGCAAAGAAAATAAATATATTCAAATCAAATTGAGAGAAAATCTCTCTGGTGTACTTCTCTCTAGCCATAAATTAGGTCGATGTTGACTTACCTAGCTTGCCCACTCAAGATTTATTTCGCGAAGAGCTCTAAACTAGCTTGGAATACTTATTTGAGTTATCCAAGCCCACTTAGATGAACTACCTGGGGGAAAGTTTCCACAACTGGCAAATAGAACACCTAAGGCATGCAATTTCGCCCTCACCAAAGGTCTCGATCCAATTTGAAATTGTTGTCTAATATAACACTCATTCAATTGACCCACAATGAATAATTGAAGAATGTTGTGATCACCCTAATTGGATATTCTCTACATTCCTCCTAGTATAACACATGCGCTTGTATTTAAAGTTGTGTTAGGTATGTCAAGGAAGACATTCCCTTTGAGTGTCCCCCTTGCGGGGGCATTTATTGTTGTGTCAACTTGTAACATCACCTCAGCAGTCTGCCAATCTTTGTCTGGGTATTGTGCTTACGAAAGTGTTATCACTACTCTCGAGTCCCATCAATGATTTCGACTGTTGAAATAGATCCGCTTTGGTGATCACTTATTCTCTTAGTGGGCTTTCCCAATGACGTTGGTCTCCCCTCTATGCTTTCTTGCTTTTGTGACCATTTATTCTCTTAGTGAGATTTATCAATGGCATGGGCCTCTCTACAATGGGATTAGTATCATTCGTGGGTCTTAGTTCAAATGGGCGTGCTCTTTAGCCCAACAGTTGCACCAAAAGCAGGAAAAGCTATAGGTTTTGGCATCTGACTCTTTTCTTGCTCTGGGATATCATGCATTTGACTTTCAACCCAACAGTTGCACCAAAAGCAGGAAAAGCTATAGGTTTTCTGGCTCTTTAGCCCTAGAAGGCATCAAATAGTACAAGAACATGCATATGTCTACTAAAAGATGATTGATCAAATAGTGGTGATTTAGATAAGAAATACCATTGAAATGACTAAAGATGCTTCTGCAGAAGCAGAAAATGTATCATAAATGGGAGTGATAAATAATATAAATAAAGTGCCATAAGAAGTATCATATTTGAACCTTGCTTTTCCTCAAGCAAACACTGCTCATAATCATTCAAATCAATGAACTCTAGCCCTCGCACTAATTCTACGCACAGTTTAGCAACACCCAAACGTGTCCCCAATCCTCCCTAAGCTTTCTCTATTTGACATCTCCTAGGTAAAACCGTATCTAATGGTAAAACCGTCTTTGATGGAAAACACCGTGAGACAGACTCATATTGGAATTGTTGAATGCTCAATCTCAAGAGCTTGGATACCCAGTTCCCATCTACACAAGTGATAAGGTGAGAAATTGTATCGAGAGAGAGCTCCCTTTTCTTTGCAGCAGTTGGCCAAAGTTCTATTTTCTTGGCTAGAACAACCAGAGTCTTCTTGATGAATGTAATTGCTTGCCTATTATTCCATTCAATCTCAAACTAAATACATGATGCGTTTTGACTCCAACAAACCTAACCAAGTGGAACTAACTCCATGTTGTACCCCTACTGCTACTGGCTTTCCCCATAAAACAATTAGACGCTTATTCCCATATCACCACTACTCTAACCACCTGCTAACCAATTCAAACTAGCTAACAATGCTGAAACAAATAAACAAATCACATTCTTACAACGACAAGCATGTTGCGAGGCTTAAGGCCTTATTGTAGATGGGTTGGGCTGACTATTCGTCACAGTAGAGGATTGTTGGGCGACTTGAAGATGTATCATTACCACCCCCTGAAGAACCGGCATTGTCCTCAATGACCAGCTGGATGATATGATCATGGAAAGTGGAAGCCAATTCCCAACTAGCATCACTGGCAGGCAGGGACTTCCATTTGATGAGGAGTTCCTCCACAAAATGAGAACCTCTTTTCATCCAACGTGTCTCAAGAATGGCCTTAGGATGGAGAAGGAGTGACCCATCATTTCCAATGGGAGGTATGTCCTGCGAAGTAGCAGCGGTGGGAGGAGCAAGGCAACGACACAGCAGAGAGACATGGAAGACCGGGTGCACACGACTGTCAGCCGGTAAGCCGAGGCGATAAGCCACAGGTCGATGCATTCAGTGATCATGTAGGGGACAAAGAGGCGTCAGACCAGCTTCTATGATGCTGGACGGAAGACTGTATGCTGGCGGTAAGGCTGTAACTTCATATATACCCAATCATCAATTGTGAATTGTTCCTCTTGTCGGTGTAAATTAGCATGCTGCTTCATGCGATTCTGCAAGACAACTAGATTGGCCTTCAGCTCATTGAGAAGATCATTGCAGTCAACAAGAGCATGATTGACCTCATGGGCCGAAGTGGATCCCAGACGATAGTTTGGAATTGGAGGGGGCAGCCGCCCATAGAGAGCTCAAAAAGGGGGGCATGCCCGTAGAGCTGTGTAAGTAGGAATTGTACCAATACTCAGCCCAGGGTAAGTACAACAGCCACTTCTTCTGTTGTTCATGGGTAAATCACCTTAAATATTGCTCGATGCAGCAATTCACGACCTCCGTTGGGCCATCAGATTAAGGATCGTATGAGAAGGACATGCTGAGAGTTGTCCCCGATTGGTGGTGAAGTTCCTGCCAAAAGTTGCTCATGAAAACGCGAACACTGGCACTGACGATCGAGCGGGGAAGGCCATGAAGTCGTGAAATATCGGCCATGAACTGATCAGCCACCGAACACGCCGTAAATTGATGGGAAAGAACGATGAAGTAACCGTATTTGGTCAAACGATCGATGAAAACCAAAATCATTGTCTTCCCACCTGAACGCGGCAAACCATCTATGAAATCAAGGGAGATGTCTTCCCATAACTAAGTGGGAACAGGGAGCGGCTGAAGGAGGCCCGCCGGGGCCAAGGACTGGGACTTGGCTCGTTGACAAGTATCACATGAGTGGGCGAAACGCTTGACGTCATCGAACATATCGAGCAAGAATAATTGGGAAGCCAGTCGCCGGTAAGTTCGTTCAATCCCGGAGTGGCTGCCGATGGGAGTGAAATGGAGCTCCTCGAGAAGTTGGCGCACATGAGGGGAGTGAGGAGGGATGATGATGCGCTTTCGCAGGAGAACCATGTCGTTTCGGATGGAGTAGGGGCCAGGGGAAGCTGATTTTACACAAGCCAGAGCCTTCTGAATATAAGGATGAGTGAGCGTCGTGATTTTGAGGGAATCCTAGAGTGTTGTATGCTGAATGGAGACTACTAGCAACAAGGCTTCAGTTGGGCGGCGGCTAAGGGAATCACATTGTTGTTTTTCGGGCGTTGTAATCCGCTAGCTGAGAAGATGTTTTAGACTTTTCTTATTTGTTCGGATAACAAATTTCCGGCCCAAGATTTAAGGATGCCATGTGTGAATTGTCGTAACAACGACAGTATTTCCTTAGCATATATTGATAGTGTCAGCTTGGCCTTACCGAGAGCTCGACTCATGTACGCAATAGGACGGTCAGCTTGCATTAGAACTGCCCCAATGCATGTACCTGAAGCATATGTTTCAATGATGAAGGGGCGTCAAAGTTGGGTAGCGCCAAGATGGGTGTGGTTGTCATCGCGGATTTCAATCCTTGAAAAGCCTCGGCACGGCAGAGGACCACTCGAACTTCACTTTCTTAAGAAGATTGGTCAATGGCTGAAAGATCAAGCCATAACCCTTGACAAATTTTCGGTAATAGCAGTGAGCCCAAAAGAACCGTGCAATTCCATGACATTGGTGGGCGTGGGCCAATCAACCATGGCCTGAATTTTTCTCGGATCCACCTTCACCCCGGTTTCTGTGATTATGTGACCCAGATACTGGTGTTGTCGCAAAATGAGAAGGACCTAGTGAACATGCTCGAGATGGCTTTGTTTGTCGGGGCTGTAGATTAGAATGTCGTCGAAGAAAACCAACATGAATTTGTGAAGGAATGGCCGAAAGATATCATTCATAATTGCCTGAAAAGTAGAAGGGGCGTCACAAAGGCCGAAAGGCATTACCAGATATTCGTAATGGCCGTTGTGTGTGCGAAACGCCGTCTTCGGTATATCTGAATCGTGCATTCGTACTTGATGGTATCCAGCTTGAAGATCCAACTTGGTGAAATAGGCGGCGCCATGAAGCTCGTCTAACATATCATTGATGGTAGGAATGGGGAAACGATCCTTGATCGTGGTGGCTTTCAACGCTCTATAGTTGGTACAGAACCGCTATGTGCCATCTTTCTTCTTAACCAGCAGAACTAGAGACGAAAATGGACTGGTGCTCGGCTGGATGAGATCGGCGGTGAGCATCTTATTGACATGTGTCTCGATCTCAGCTTTCTGGTAGTGAGCATAATGATAAGGCTTGACGTTGATTGCCTCAGTCTCATCTTTGAGTTCAATGCAATGGCAATCGCCCTTCTTGGAAGAAGCTGAGTGGGGTCTTCAAATAGGTCGCCGAAGTTGCGAAGGAGATCTTGAAACTCCTTGGGAACTTGGTGCAAATGGTCTTCCGTCAGGGGAGGAAGACAGATTGCGCGGAGGCCAAGTTCCTCCCGCATCATCTCACGGACGGTAGTTTCCATTGGCCATACGCTAGAGATGCCCCGCAACCGTCACTGACGACCTTCCCATTCAAATTCCATTTCCAAAGTGTTCTAGTTTCTCTGAGTCCCCAATGTTTCCAGCCATTGAATTCCGAGAATAATGTCTAACCCAGCAAGCGGAACGACGAATAGAGTGACGGGAAATTTTGTGCCTTCGATTTTGAGAAGAACATCTTCGTGTTTGCCCTTGCATTGCAATGGAGCTCCATCCGTAATTTTGATGTTGGAAGGTGAAATGGGCAAACCAGGCAGATGGAGAGCATCGGCAGCCTTCGTGCTGATGAAGTTGTGAGTCGACCCACTGTCAATAAGGATGATAAGCTTACTGTGGCCCACTGAGGCCCAAACGCGCATAGTCTGGCTTCCTATTTGGCATGTTATCGCTTTGAGCAAAACCTTGACATCATCGGAAGTATCGTCGTCTTCCTCATCCAGCAACATCATTAGCCAAGGTTTGGCACACCGTTGGGTGGGGGCGAACTTTTCGTCGCAGTTAAAACAAAGGTCAGCCTGACGTCGACAATGCATCTCATCGTATGGGACGCGTCTTCCTCCTTGGGGTGGCGGTAGTCAGTTGCGGCCTGGTTGTGGTGGCTCAACGGGTGGTCTTGATACGTTTTGACTCCAACAGATTTAAGCAAGTGGAACTAACTCCATGTTTTACCTCTACTACTACTCGCTTTCCCCACAAAACAAGGAGAAGCATATTCGCAAATCGCCACTACTCTAACCACCTGTTGACCAATTCAAACTAGCTAACAATGCTGAAACAAATAAACAAATCACATTCCTACAACGGCAAGCATGTTGCGAGGCTTAAGGCCTTGCTGTAGATGGGCTGGGCTGACTATTCGTCGCGGTAGCGAACTGCTGGGCGACTTGCAAACGTATCAGCAAGCATTAGATGTTTTCTCGAAAGTGCCATGGGCCTCCCTCAAAACCCCATATACTGGCCTTTGCTTATGAAAATTTGAATAAGACCAACTGATCTTCTAGTCATGATCTCCATCCCTTCCCCATAACTAGTTTCCCTGTATTAGAGTGAAGAAATTTACAGCGGTGTCGGAAGGAATTGTCCCACTAAACTGTTAGTCCATCACTTTGATCCCTCCTCGACAACTTACTTGGGAATAAATGGCCCATTCACAAACTCTGGTTCTTAATATTGTAATCCAGTGTAGTCAAAATCACGCTTTTACGCTTCTAGGTGACCAAACAGCGAAGCCCATGAGCAGTCGTCACCAACAGCATATAGCAAAGCTCCAGCGACAACGGTTGCCATTGACGAAGCACCAGGAAAAAGCAAGGATTTCGATATCATTTTCTTTTTTATATAGGAAGCCATGTCATATATTTCTCAAAGTTCTGGGCTTTTTCTGCCTCTAACAAACTCCCAATTGAGCTGGGTGGACAGTCATTCCAAACAAACTTATGGTTCCATTGAGGAGCCAGGTGGGCCACTGAATAGAACTTTCTTGGCACATAGGCCCACTCGACCTACTTACCATACATCTACGAATTGACTTCGGCCAGTTTCCTTATCTCTTTGCACCAAACTCCCAGCTCAGTACGATGCTCTTCATCACGTTCCAGGAGCTTCACCAAATTTAGACAATCTGATTCCACAATCAAGGGACTCCAACCTCTTCGATTAGCTTCTTTCAATCCGAGTACGATGGCTCTAGCTTCCGCCTCCACCTGTCTGCAACTTCCCATCTCCTTTCCTGCCAGTGCTCCCATAAATTTTCCATCCCAATTTTTGAACACACATCCCAAACCAACTCCAGAAGGCTTCAAGAGCCCTGCATCGCTGTTCATCTTGAAGATCCCGACCAGCGGGCTTTTCCACCCCTAATCGTTGTTACTTCACCCACCATACGATAAATCACTTCCCTAATGTTTTATTTAGGGGTAATACCACTGGAAACACCATCCTTTAGCGAAAGTGCCATTTATATTACATGCATTTAATAAACACAAAAATATTCCAATCTATTAGAGGTTTGTGTCATTTGTGTTACGCGAATTTATGTTGACTGTTAAAAATGACGGTTGACCTGACGGTGCTCCACTTTGTGTCCACGTAGGCGACACATGGATGCCACGTTTGAAAAAAATGATTAAAATTTTTAAATATATTATTTATTAATTATTTATTATTTTATTACAAAATAAAAATTCTTTTAACCCCACCCACCCCTATCTTTTTTACAGCATTGGGCCTCTCCTCCGAAACCCCCAATCCCAAACATCCACACAGGCCGCCGCGCAGCAGCAGCATTACTCTGCCATTCCTCCTACCCAATCGCCACCGAATCTGGTGAATAAGCAGCCGGAGGAGCCGATTGTTGTCCAGGAGAAGGAGGCGTAACAGTTGGTTTGGGAAACAATGGATCACCTGGGCCGAAAGGAGATCTTTCTACTTGATTGAGGGTTTCTAGATTCTCGAGGATTGCAATTGAACTGGGTATCCTTCCTTTAAGCCTATTGCCCGAAAGATCCACAAGGGCGAGATTCTCGACCAATTGCTTCAGAATCGAGCCCGTGAGATTCGCATTCGTGATGGTGAGCGACCGAAGCTTGTGCATATTCCCGATGACGACGTAGAGCCCGCTGGTACTGACAGGGACATCGGTTACGGTGAGGTTGACGAAGTGGGAGAGCCAGACGCCCGTGAGGTGTTTGAGAGAATGCGCACAAGTGAAAAAGCGGAGGGCGAGGGCGAGATCTGAAGGGAAACGGATAGGGATAATGGGGCAGTTGGTGAAGGAGAGAGACTGGAGGGTGGAGAGGGACTTGAGGGCGGTGAAGGAGAGGGAAACGTCGTTGGAGCAATTGGAGAGGTGGAGGGAGACTACGTGGCGGAATGGGGAAGGCTGGACGCAGGGGTCTTTGGCCGTTGGAATTCTGAGGGGCTGGAGGGCTCGAAGCTGCTTTGGGTGTAGTGTGGAGTGGGTTGAAGTGGAAGGAGATGGGATGGTCTTGGGAGGAGGGACGGTGACCGGGGAAGAGGTTGGGGTGACAGCCGGAGCAGCGGTGGTGGTGGGCATGGTGGATCTGCTGGTTGCAGAGGCGGAGCTATGCTGGCTTTTTGAGGGGGTTGGGGAAATTTGGAGAAGAAGATGAGATTAGTGGAGGGGAAGGACTCGGAGGTGAGAATTGTTTTTATTTTTACTTGTTTTTTTTTTCATTTCAGTAAATAAGCCACGTCAGCGAGCCACGTAGAATCCTATTAAGCGTTGACTGGGCGTTGAAAAGTCGCACAGTTATGTTTAACGGGCCAACTAACGGAGAAAACATTTTAGTATACAAATGGAATATCGAAAACGATGTAATATTAATGGCACTTTTGCTAAAGGATGGTATTTCGAGTGGTATTAGCCTTTTATTTAAGACAAAATCATACACAATGTTATAGTTTGGACTATATTGGACCTATTATATTGGGTAACGAACACCTAATTAGAATGCAGTTTTTCTCCTATTTTTTAATAGGAAGAAACAAACAAATTTTAAATCCAACACTAAAGAGGGGTAATTAAGCTGACGACTCAGATGGTCCATAACATATTTTTTTTCTTTGTGCAATCTCCCATTTGAATCTGACCCAAATGGGTTTATTCAATTTGAATTCAATTCAAATACACCCAAATCCGCACATAAACCATTTTAAGTTCTACACAATACTCATTTGGTTCATATAGGGCTGTAAATTAGCCGAGCTACTCGCGAGCAACTCGAGGTTCGAATCGGGAAAAACTTGTTTGAAATTCGACTCGTTTAGTAACGAGCCAAGCTTGAGCTTAGCCTTGTTAGCAAAGCTCGCGAGCTAGGTCGACTCGGTGGCTTGTTGAGCTCAAGTCGTGAGTTGGCTCATTTAAAACTAATGAGATGTCTCAACATTATGGTTTGAGAGCCAACTTGATCATCAACTTATAGACGAATCGATCTAATTTGAACTTTCATAATTCATAAGATTGTTAAATTATATATCACATATCATGTGAAGTTTAAAATGTCGAACATGTAAGAAAATATGCCTAATTTTTTATTCTATAAAAAAATTATGTACAAAATTGTTTTGATACTATGAAATAACATGATTTGAATGGTTAAAATTTATTAACTAAACAATATGCACACCTACAAATTATAATATAACATTAATTAATATTGAACATATAATTATTTTTTTAATTATTACATCAATCACATATACCATACACGACATACAAAATGAATATATCAAATACGATCTAAACATTTAGTAAACAAGTCTAACTCAAACTCGACTAGTTAATAAATGGCTCGAGCTCGAACTCAACTCCTTTATTAACGAGTCAAGCTCAAGCTAGGATAAAACTCGGCTTAACTCAGCCCATTTGCATCTAAGTTCATATAACAAGGTAGAATTCCCCAATGCCATTCCTAGCCATAACTATCAGCACTAGTCAAGGTTGAAATCATATCAACAAGGCTACCATTAAACAACGAATCATCCGTTGCTTCCACTCTATCAACACTTCTGAAGATGAGGAAGGTCTAATTATTTACAGGCTATGAATCCCACTTCTACACTACCGGAACAAAAAAAAAAGGGCTCACAAACAGAAGAATAAAAATGACTGGTTGTTGCGTCAATAATAGGCAACCACGCACAAATAACCCAACACTGCTAATTTTTATGTACACAAACAAACCATTCCCAATCAGCTTTCCCCCAATTCATACTCCTTGCTACTGGTACCTTAAATCATAGGAAACAACCATTCGATCAGGAACTATGAGAGGAAGCTTGTCGATGTACATGAACAATCTCTTCAAGTTTTCCCTCGTTATAGCTGACAGATCAGCTACTTCATTGTTGCTGGTGTAGACCCACAGATCACCTGAGTTCACCCTCTTCAGGCTGTCCCGGCAGAATGGACACGACTGCGACCTCGCTCGCCTACGAAGCAGCCCAGAAAACCTTCAATTTAAGGAGTTGAGGGCTCAAACTATTAAAGGCAGAGCAATTTTCAGTACTAACCAGGTTCTGTAGCACTTGAGGCAGAGAGAATGGCTGCATTTTGGCAAAACGACTTTTGTGTTGTTCTCCATGCATATCCCACATTCTTCCTCCCTTTCAAGATCAATCTCAGTCAGCTTGCCTTTGTCTGTCTCGTCTTTCTTCATGTATTTGGCGCAGATTTCTCTCTGTTTCCTCTCGTCCACGTCCGTAATCCCTCTCTGGAGTTGCATTAAAGAAGGAAATATCACCCCTGTCATGAAACAAACACCATCCCCTTTTACTCAAACGCTCATAAATCACATAAGCAGACATTTAAATCTTTTTTTCACTCGAACTGACCGTAAAACTCCTTCAAGCTAGCTTTTCTCTCTTGGACTGACATCGTTGTCTTCCCATCTTCATAAGCCTGTGAAGAAAGAAACTGTAGCTTTGAGGTACAAGCTGAATTACGTAAAAACATGAGCAGAGGTAAGAGTATTAACTAAGTTAGTACCTTATAGATGAGTATTCGGAGCAACCCCAAGGCTCCGGCGAGATGGCAATCGGTCCATTGAACTAGAAAGAGGAATATGTGAGCGGCAGGGCTGTAAGATAGCCTCATCTGAAGACATCCCCCATCGTATTCAGCAGGATAAACAGAAGACCTGACCAAAAGCAAAATATCCAACAATTGAGAACCCCACTTGCATGATATTGAAGGTACAATCTACACAAGCGGAAAGCAACCCGTCCTTGAGGGGTCGCTCTCGATAAACCCTAATCATCCATAACAGAATATCCAAAACTGAAATGTGCAGCCACTAGTTCACCCAGCCATTTTTCCAGGCATCTCTAAAAAAAAAAAACAGAACCCAACCGACTAATCATCGGAAATAACATAGATTTGAAGAAATCAGGGCAATTTCAAAAGTTATGGCGAGCTGAAAATTGCAGGATAGTCGTCATCTGCTCCGGTACTGCTGGGGTAACCTAGTACTTCATTAAAGAATCTAGCGAGTCAAAAATGACTCGGGTGCTCTGATCTGATTAGAATGACGTGGAGAAAATCGAACCCTTAAAACACCCAAAACTTTGTAGCGGGACTTGGGATTAGCGAGCAAAACCTAATTTCTGCCACTCAATTGAACAATTCTACGCCACCGCATGAAACGGGTTAAAGATGGAGAAGCGGCAAAAGAGGGACAAAAAGGGGTAAAAAGAGGTTGGCAGCTCGAGTTGATGGCGGAATCAAATCACTGAGAGATCTAGAACTAGAACTACACCCACCTAAAATATAGCCGACATGGGCAAACAAAATAAAATTTGTAGTTTCTTGCAAAAACCTGGAACCCAGAAAGCTGAATTGTGGGTGGAATCAGAAATTTAGTACAAGCAGAGACTACAGGGAAGAAAATAGCAAAAATTGAAGCCACCCACAGTAGTAGTGAGATGAAGCTATGACGGCGGCGAAAGAAAATTGGACGAGCGGTAGAAGATCAAGCTACCAGAAAACAGAGACAATTCGCCCAGGGAAAAAAGCAGAGGAGGAGAAAAAGAATGGACGGGGAAGAGAATTGAGGGCACATACAGGGTATTGGCGAACTGAATATCAGCTTCCAGAGCCTTGAGAGAATCCTTAAACGATTTCCGCATTTCTTCCTCCCTCCCTCGGTTCCTTGAGAATTGAGTTTCTTTTCCCCTTTCCTCCAACCAAAAACAGGGTGAAGCTTAACTCCCTCTAAAAACCATCACCCATCCAATCCAATCCAACCACCACTCCCCACCCAGCCAGGAAGCCCCTCCAAATAAAATAACAATTAGGGGAGAAAAGAATTGAAGGAAAGGCCAAATCTCTCACTCACTGCCCAAAATTGAAAACCCACCCTGAATCCCCAATTTGACGATAAGATTATTGAATAAAAGTAGCGACAATGATTTCAAAAAAAGATAACCCAAGTTTATGACTAATTTAACCCCTTTTTTTTTGTTTCGCTTACTCCCCACGTAATCTTTTTTCCTCGGAACAGCTTCCTTTTCCTTTTCCTTTTCCCACTCTCGCTAATAATAATAATAATAATAATAAATTAATAACAACGCTCTTAGTAGCTAGAAGATTGTGGATTGCAGAGGAAGGGTTTGGGAACTGACATGTCCTGCCTTAAAAAAAATATTTGAGGGAGTGTCAGTGACCGGACGGTGACATTAGTGGAGCCTCCTCAAACGTGGAGGGCGGTGAGATTGAGAGCGTGGGGAGAAAGGTTGCCACTTGGGGTGGTGACGGTCCAGAGCGCGCCAAACCTTTCCTGTCATTCGCGAGTGGCCGGAAGGAAGGACCGACGGCAAAGAAAAGGTGGAGGGGATCGATCGTGTTCGTGTCTCAATGAGTCGGGGGAAATCTAACGGTGCCGCGTGGCGGACATGCACCATCCAACGGTAAAGTGGGGACCTCCCAGCGGTGGTTGGAGATGGAGCGGGCTACGTGGGCTGTATGATTCTGTGAATGATGGGCTACGTGGGCCCCATCCTTCACCCGCTGGTAACATTAGTCAACTTAAACCGCATTACTCGCCACTAACAACAACGTAAAAGCCATCATCCTATTTTTTTTAATAGATGATTATAAATAATAATAATAATAATAATAATACTGATTAGTTCAGAGATTTTTCTTATTGCTATTCGGGCTGGTGATGGTTGCTTGCGAATTTTTTTTATTTTTTATCCAGAAACCTCAGTCACACGTGCAACTTTGTAATAGCGCGTCCTACTAAATTTGAGGACCACCTGCAATCTAATTCGATGTCAACAAGACTTCACTCCCAACAACCTTATACCTCCAAAAACACCAACGAACCTCGCTTGTATTCAAATCTGCGATCTGCAACTTCCAAACTTTCACAGTTGCTTGCGAATTCTTAATCTTGTGTATTCGCTAATCGCGGTAGCATGGAGTTATATTTTCACTCATATTAAACTTTTTTTTGTTTTTGTTTCAATAGATCGAGTATATGAAACTTTGAACAACCGGGAAGCGGAGTACTGCAGGGATTGGGGTAATGATTCATCTGCATAAACCATTCCACTCAGTGTCAAATGAAAGATCAAGATATTGCATTTAAACGACTCCGACTTGTTACCGTGATTGGTTAGTTAGTTAGTTATTAATTCCCTTGTTTAACCACTTAGCATTCGTCAGCTGGTTCATTCAATCTGGACAATTATACACTATTTTAGCTAATTGAGCCGTTTTCTACAATAATAGTAAAAATATAATTTCCTTTTGTCATAATTAATTAACTAGATGTAACATCCCAACCTTTTCTAACCAAGATATTAATTTGGTTTGGATCTATCCTGGTGCAATTTTTATTTTGAGTGTTATGATTTATGATAACTTCTCAAAAGATCATCCATCTATGCCCTGTTTTACTCTGACCACGTTTAATTTCAGCGTTGTCAGTTCACCTCAAAAGCAAAACCATGAGAGGGACAGCCAAAAACGAATAATATCTTGACCAGAAAAGTGATGAGATGTTCAAATGATATCGTAGGCAAAATGGATATAATTTAACTCCTTAAGCAAATCCCGCATCGACAAAGCACAGGAGAGATTCACGATTAATGAAAACAATCCAATTTTAACAGACAATACACATTAATGACATTATAAGGTCAAAATGGAAGAGCTTTTACAAAAACTCTACCGTTAAACGATCACAATATGAAGCAAGTCAATGATAAATGATTTATTAAAAAGTTACCCCGATATGCAAAAAAAAAAAAATTTCGTACAAACTAGACCAAAAACAGACAATATATACTATATAGATAATAATTAAAAAAAAAGGGTTGGATTTTAAACACGCATTAAAGAAGAAGAAAAACAAGCTCGTTAATAGGACAGGGATCTAATTATTTTATTTACCCTTGTTATTCCTTGTCACAATAATGAATCAAGAAGCTCATTAGACAAGCGAGGGCGGGAATTTAATATATCACATTGGATTGGATAAATCATTCTAAGTGGAGGGCCATGATATTCATTATTCACTCGTATTTTGGAGGCTTTCGTTGGAGACAAAATAAAAATAGCGATTCTGGAAGCAAAACCCAAACGAAAAAATCAATTATTTAATTGTACCACCATTTTGGCAATTGGAGGGCAACTACTACTAAACTAATGAAATTTGCATTACCTGAGGCTGAAATGGTGTGTTTTAGGAGCTTAACGAAGACCACCCGCCAAAGTTCAGAAAAACCTGCAAGTCATCCCAAAGCAAAGCTCTCTCTGCCCAGCCACGAAATGATAAGTAGATAAACAGAAACGGTTGTTAACCTCCTGGCACAAGGAAACCAATCATTCCGAATTGTAGATGAACAGACGAAATTTCATAATTTGGAAAGAGACAAGAGATTATTACAATTGGACGGCAGTTGAATTGAAGAGTTGGACAAGCTAACTCAACTCTGGGTTCTTGGCTTCTTGCCACCTCGTACTAATTGGAATCTTCTTCCTTGTGCTAACCAAAGCTTTCATCGATCAGTATTCCGCCGGGGACCTTGAGATTGATTTGGTTTGTGTCCCATCCGGCTTGACCCAATTGCTCAAGGAAATTGTCAAAATTGGTCTCCATCTCCTTGTGGGATTTAGCAAGCTGGTAAAAAACATCAAGAGAATGTTGTTCCCAGTTCACATGTAGCCAGTATGTCTGCCACACACTTCGTAGTACCGACATGCTTGTAGCTCCCACCTGCCGACAGATTCTATGTTTCATCAAATGATGCTCTCTATGTCGATACCCAAGTAAAAAATCACCAGCTTATTATTGCCATGTCACCTCGAAGTGTTTTTACCTTGAACGAGACAAAGACCTCCAAGTCTTTCGTTTGCCTGTTCGCCATGAGCAGATATTGCTCCTTTTCATACACTCTCATAAGTGCTTTCACCTATTCAGAGGGTAATCAGGAAGGAGGAAAATTGAGAGTGTGTATATTACCCCCCCCCCCCCCCCCCCCCCCCCCCCCAACTTTTTATGGGTCAACTAAATGAAATTGACATGGTACCTCGGAAATGGATTTCTTGCCACTAATCATCTCTTCCAATGGGACACCGAAAGTAATTCTCGGTTTTGTGAATGTTTCCCACAATAAGATGTTTTCTTCTTTATTGCAATCAGCGCATCCTGAAGAGGGGAAATGTATCTGTTTCACTAAAGTTGTCTAACGACAATAAAGAACAGTGCAGCAGATCAGGAAAGCTACTTGGCACATGAGAGCGTTCGATGTGTGATTTCACCAGCAGACGAGCTCGCTTGAGATTTATCTGCGGAGAAGACAATTCTCAGGCCCATGATGATGCGTTGGGAAAATGACCAACCATACTATGCTTTCTAATAACAGATAATGGTATGGATGGTTTACCGTGTCAAATCGAAGAACCAGCAGGGATTGATACCGAAACCACAGATGCAGAAGACGCATGCTCGTCCACGTCAATGTCAATGCTGGAAACGTTTTCACCAGTCCGGGTGTATCCTGCATTCTTAATCCTATCATTCCACTTTGATGCAGAAAAGTGCCTAACAGTTTGGAAGAAAGCATTATTATAAGAACTTTCAACGCAATAGGAAAACACACCAGGATCAGTATACCAACAGCAAGTCCAAGCAACTGAGCGCCTACTTCCCAGACTTCTTCCTGAAGCACCAACAGTTCAGAGGGTTAAGTCCTTCGAAAAACAGTCCAGAGGATTAAGTCATTGGATATTATATAGCTTAACGGTTGATCCGCCGACACTACAAGCATATACCTTGGCAGCTACCTCCCCTAGATTTCCAGATGCAGCAAAATGGTTTTGGATCACACGGGATGAAGGATCTTTGAGCCCCCTTGCTACAGCCTGGTGAATGGTAGTCTCAAGAAGAATAAGTAGACATCCTCAATTCATTAAAAGAGGACAAAGAAAGCAAGTATGTCAGAGTCACATTTCCATTTCTGTAACTAAGGACATGATGGTAGCAACTGAAATAAAAGCTTCCTAAAGTGAACACTTTGGGCCTCACAGAAGGGAATACCTTGGTCAGATTTCCAAGAGACGCTAATGGAAGGAAGTAGGCTGGATACAATTGGGTGGTGAGGTCAAAGATGCTATAATATAAAATTTCAAAATAATAGGTCATTTCCGATCCGATTATTATATGCTTCAAAAACACAAAACAAAAAGGTTTGCCATCATACCAACCTTCCAGCACTCCCGATGAAATCCGCATACATGCGCCATTGTTTAGGATCATCATCAAAAAGATTGCCAAATCGTCCACCTGGCAGGAAGCAAAGATTTTAACCATAAATTCCCACAAAAGATACCTTCTTCGATTAGCAGTTCTTCAATCAAATTTCCAAACCTATGAACAAGCGACCCAAAGCTCCAATGCCATCCTTAGACACCCATCTACAAGAACAAAAGAATCTCATGTTTAAAAACTTATATTCCAGACCCTCATTTGCAGAAGCTGAGTAGACCATAGATTCACCTAATTGCAGCAGCTGTCGCAGCAGCAGCAGTTCCTGTAGAGTAGCCAACACCAACACCCTGCAGAATTTCATTCGAAGTAGCTAATATAATAAGCACAGGCAAACATTGGACTCAAAGTTATGCGAATCAGGATACAACACAAGCTATAAAAAGATTAAAAACGAAAGACAAGTGGGTAAGGAGTTTTGATTCCTAGCAACATACCCCAAGGAAAGTTAACTGCCTGAGTTAGATTCACATGCCTTAAGAAGACTTGACGTGACTAATGCGTGGCAGATCCATCCAGTGACATTAGTGGGGAATTGTAACAACATGTACTCCAAATAATCTTCTGAAACTGATCCTAGAATTACAGGAGAGCCAAAGATGAAGAATATTAGTGTCCGGGTATATCGACAGGTTGTGATTCCAAAATGTACTATATCGATCTTTGCCACTCTTCAGACGTCACATTATCATAATCCAGAAATACCTAGTTACACAACAGTTTCAGTAGCAATCAAAAGAGCCATGGAGAAGAACAATTCAAGACAATGTATCAATTCAAGAGTTTCAAATGGTCAGTTGAAGGAAAGAAACAAATACAGGATGGAAACAAAGGAAGAACACAAAGGGCAACCAAAATGAAGGGAATCTAAGAGAACGCTGTGCACCTGGAAAGCCAGCAGGTAGAACAAAATCGGCGACAAACTGAGGAAGCACCGATGGTCGTTTTGTCTCAGGCACAGACGAGTCTAGGGCTCCAAATTTATTATTGGCCACATCTTCTGTGACAGAGATTCTTACTCCTACTTCATCATCCAAAATGTATCTGATGATTCCAAAGAAAAAAAAATCAAATCCGAAAATCCTATTCCACCAGAGTATACCAAACAGGAACAGATAATTATTATATAGCTAATTTGAGCAACTTACCTTTTGATAGCTCCATTGCTGTATCTCTCCACTAAAATCGATTGTTTCCGGCGACGAACGCTATTGTAGTAGTAAAGAAAACGCCGCAATAAGTAAACAGTGAGATATCTAGCGTCTGCTTTACTCCATACCGAATAACTCAAAGTTTACATCCATTTGAGCAAGGACCGTACGAAGAAGAAGCGTTCGCAGTTCTTTCACTCACCTCTCTTTCCCGAAGTTTTCTTCTTCTTCTGCGGGATCCTGAAGATTGGACTGTAGGGGGGAAGAGAGGAAACGGAACGGGAAACGACGAGCTCTCCGCCTGCCGCTGGTCGTCGACGATTCAAATGCAAAGCCAGGAAACGATAGCCTCAGGGCGAAAGGCATTCCCATCGACGATTCAAACACAGACGCAGAGAGTGGGTGGTCAGTAATATCTTCTTCCTTTTTTGGACTTGGGACTTCGGAGCAACTCCGGCCCAACCATAGAGTGCGAAACGTCGTAGCACTATTTAGATTTTGTGTTAGTGGAAGCGCTATCTAGAGCGCTAATCATTACCATACCAGCCACCTAGCGTGTACACACCATGTTATTATTGGGCCGAGACGTAGATGGTGCGACTGATCGACGTATGGGCCGCGAGGGCTGTCAAGCCCCACAAGCAAAGCTGGTCACCCACATTCTGCCGTTTCCTTCTTCTTGTTGTAAACGGCAACTAAGGCCTAATGTAACCCTAGGTGAATGTAGTAATAGGGTTATAAATACGCTTGCTTGTAAAGCCGAAAGGCATCTTGGTTAACTATCAATAAGAGATCAGCTGGAGAGACTTCTCTCTCCCGTGGATTAGTCCCAACAAACTGTTGGGGATACCACGTTAAATCGCGTGTGTTCTTCATTGTTCGTGCTAGATTTATTATGGTATCAGAGCGTACGGTCCTTTGATCATCTGTGTCCATGAGCGACGACGAGGAAAGTAAGAAGTCGACCTCCATCGACGACAGAGGGAAGGGTCACCTCTCTTCGTCATCTTTCTCCGGCCATGTCTTCCCGGAGCCACAATCGCCTTATTTTCTCCACCCGTCTGACGTCAATGGGCAACTTCAAGTAAGCGACCCCCTCACTCCGACAAACTACGGCGAGTGGGTCGTGGACGTCACTGATGCTCTAATAGTCAAAAACAAATTTGGTTTTGTCGATGGCACCATATCGAAACCGTCGCAAGAACCGGAGCTGGGCGCATGGATTCAATGCGATGCCGTCGTCAAGGGCTGGCTGCGGCTCTCCATGAACAAAGAAGTTAGGAGCAGTGTTCGATACGCCAAAATAGCAAGAGAGATATGGGTAGACCTCAAGGATCGCTTCGGCCAAGGCAGTCTCACTCGAGGCTACGAACTTCGCCGCCTCATCAGTGCACTTTGGCAGGAGAAGCTCACAGTGTCATCGTTCTATACGCAACTTCGCACGTATTGGGAGGAAGCACAGTCGCTTTCACCTTCTGAAATCTGTACGTGTGGCCGCTGTGATTGTGGGCTGGAAGCTCGCATTCGAGCCAAGGAAGAGTGCTCACGTCTGTTTGATTTTCTAATGGGTCTCGACGAAAGCTTCGGGACTGTTCGTAGTCAAATTCTTTCAATGAAGCCTACCCCTAGCCTTGCTGAAGCTTTCAATATAGTCTCCACGGATGAACAACAACGACTTCTTGCTCAACGTCGTCGTCCCGCGCCAGAAGGCGCCGCCTTCGCAGCTCGTGCAAATGATGAGCGTCCTCGCACTCTAGATGGGCGCCCCATATGCGTACACTGCGGAAAAGAAGGCCACTTCAAGGCCACTTGTTATGAACTCATAGGATACCCAACCCGCAACAACAATGACAAGACAGAGAAGGGTGAAGCATGGGTACCACGTGGGGAAAGTAACAAGTCGGATCGTGGGGAACGAAGACGTAGAAACTCCAAGGACAGGCCTCCACGAGCTGCACAAGCTGACAGCAACACTAGTCCTGTCCCGGGTTTCACTACTGCTCAACTTGACAGCCTCAAGAAGTTTTTCGCTCAAGCTCCCAACGCGGATGATCCATCCGCACATATGGCAGGTACGTTTCTCGACAATTCTGAATGGTTAATAGACTCGGGTTGCAATGAACACATCACCAAGGATGAGCGGTTATTAAGTGATATTTTGGTTGAAGAAAATAGCAATCCGGTGAAAATTCCAAATGGGGATAATGTGCCAGTTAAAAGTATTGGTTCGGTTAAGCTGGGGTCTGGAGTTCAGCTCGACCGAGTTCTACATGTTCCAAGTTTTCAATGTAATCTGTTGTCCGTGAGTAAGCTAACCAAGGACAACAATGTTGCTTTGATTTTTCTACGTGACTTGTGTATTCTTCAGGACTTACGCTCCAGGAGCGTGATTGGGAAGGGGATTCTCCGTGATGGACTCTACTATTTGAAGTTGTTCGATAGCAAAGAGCAGTTCCTTTTTGCAGGCAGTGGGCGTCGAGCAATTTCGGAGGAAGTTTGGCACGCTCGTTTGGGTCACCCCTCCCCTGCTAAACTCTCTCAATTACGTACCTTCCTTGAGTACTCGGATTCCAAGTCGCATGGGCCCTGTCATCCTTGCCTTCGTGCAAAGCAGACTCGTCTTCCTTTTCCGCACAGTTTCATTAAGACTTCAGATTGTTTTGAGCTTATTCATGTTGACATTTGGGGAGGTTATCAAACCGCTTCTCTTAGCGGGGCACATTATTTCTTGACTATAGTTGATGATTTCAGTCGAGGAGTCTGGGTTTACCTTTTGAAATTCAAGTCAGAGGTTGCACGTTATCTTGTTATGTTTTGTGAGATGGTTTCTACTCAATTCTCAAAGAAAGTGCGGCGAATACAGGCAGACAACGGGTTGGAGTTTCAAACCTCCTCGTTGCGTGATTACTATGAACAGGCTGGAATCATTCTGCAAACTAGCTGCACGGATACACCTCAACAGAATGGGGTGGTGGAACGGAAACATAGGCACATTCTGGAGACTGCAAGAGCACTTCGATTTCATGCTGGCTTGCCAGTTCGGTTTTGGGGTGAATGCATTTTAACTGCTGTCTATGTGATAAATAGGTTGCCCACTGAAGCTACTGGTAAGACTCCTCATGAAACTCTCTTCGATAAACCAGCCAACTATTCTCAGCTACGAGTATTTGGGTGCCTTGTTTATAGCAAGGACAATCATGGTGGTCTACATAAGTTTTCTGATCGTGGACGTGCCGGGATTTTCTTGGGGTATGCAGCTTCTCAAAAGGGGTTCAAGATTTATGATTTACAGTCTCATAAGATTCACGTCTCACGTGATGTCATATTTCATGAAGAATACTTCCCATTCCGGGCTCAAGACCCTCGAGAATTTCACTGGGTTCCTCCCTTTATGGTTGAGGACGACGAGGTGCATGGGGCCACGTCATCCAGCTCTTCACCCCTGCATGACACTATTCCGTCCATGCATGATGTACCAAGTTCCATTTCTCCTACACAACCTGCAGAGGCTACTTCGTCTTCACCACATGAGCCGCGCGTTAGCACGCCCGGAGACTTGGCTCCATCCATTCCAGGACCGGATGGTGCGACGGAGACTGGTCCTTTAATAGGCGATCAATCGCCACCTCCATCCCAGCAGTCAACCCCCGAGGGCAATCCTTCCACTCCTCCTCTTCGCCGTGGCGCACGTGAGCGTCGGCCGCCGAAAAGGCTGGATATATATGACACTAATCTGCATTTTGGCTCCCATGTTCAGTATCCTCTATCTCATTATGTATCCTACGATCGCTTCAGCACCAGCCATCGAGCCTACCTTGCCAAGATCTCCAAGGAGGTTGAGCCTACCAGTTTTGCGGAAGCTATTCAGCATGAACATTGGCGCCTTGCCATGATAAAAGAGATAGAGGCCCTGGTTGCCAACGGGACATGGAGCCTCATTGATCCTCCATCAGGAGCTCATATCATCGACTGCAAATGGGTATTCAAAATAAAGTATCGGCCTGACGGTACTATTGAGCGCTATAAGGATCGGCTAGTGGCGAAGGGTTACACACAGATTGAGGGTTTGGACTACCATGATACCTTCGCCCCCGTCGCGAAGCTCGTAACTGTTCGATGTCTACTTGCAGTCGCTGCCAGTCGTGAGTGGCACATTCATCAACTCGATGTCAACAATGCTTTTTTGCATGGCGACTTACAGGAAGAACTGTACATGCGTATTCCCCCTGGTTTTGCAGCTTCTGGGGATCGTCGTGTGTGCCGTCTTCAGAAATCCATCTATGGTTTAAAACAGGCTTCACGGAACTGGTACCAGAAGTTTACTACAGCTCTTTGTGAAGTTGGTTTTCGCGCCTCTCCGGCAGATCATTCTCTTTTCATCTATCGTCGCGACAACATTTTCGTTGTTGCACTTATCTATGTGGACGATGTTATCCTGGCTGGTGATAGTCTTGCTTTTATCACTCATGTTAAGACCTTCCTCGACCAGCGGTTCAGTATTAAGGATTTAGGTCCCCTGAAATACTTCCTCGGTCTTGAGGTTGCTCGTTCTCCGCGTGGCATTGTTCTTAGCCAACGCAAGTATGTCCTTGACATTCTCAATGACGCAGGAGTTCTTGGTGCACGTCCTAGCTCTTTTCCAGTAGAGCAAAATCATCAGCTCACTAAGCCGGATTCTGGTCCTCTCGTTGATACATCTTCCTACCGTCGGTTGGTAGGGCGCCTCCTCTACTTGACTGTTTTGCGCCCTGATATTGCCTATGGTGTAAATATCTTGAGTCGTTTTGTTCATGCCCCGACCCAAGCTCACATGGATGCTGCTGTTCGGATTCTTTGCTACTTGAAGACCTCACCTGGGCAAGGACTTTATTTTCCTGCGTCGAACTCCCTTGATTTAGTGGCATATTGTGATGCAGATTGGGGGGTTGTCAGACCACTCGTCGTTCTACGACAGGTTTTTTTATCTCTCTTGGTTCAGCTCCCATTTCATGGCGTACTAAGCAGCAGAAGGTAGTTGCTCGTTCTTCTGCCGAAGCCGAGTATCGTGCCATGGCCAGCACAGTTAGTGAGCTTCTCTGGCTCCGCTAGTTGTTAAAGGAGTTAGGAGTACCTCAGTCTAGCCCTACTCCTCTCCACTACGATAATCAAGCCGCCCTACATATCGCGGCTAATCCAGTTTTCCATGAACGGACTAAACATGTGGAGATGGACTGTCATTTCGTCCGGGAGCGAGTTCTTTCTCATGATATCCTTCCCCGCAAGGTTAGTTCTCATCTTCAGCTTGCAGACATGTTCACAAAAGGGCTCGGTGCAGAACGTTTTCGGTTTCTTCTGTCCAAGCTGAACGTTCGAGATCTTCACGGTTCAGCTTGCGGGGGGCGTATTGGGCCGAGACGTAGATGGTGCGACTGATCGACGTATGGGCCGCGAGGGCTGTCAAGCCCCACAAGCAAAGCTGGTCACCCACATTCTGCCGTTTCCT